TTTCACAAACTCATTTCTATCTACCCCACCATAAGTACCTCGGTAGATATGTCTGCATACCAAATTTCAAGTTCATGGAACTTGTGGACTAGCTGATAAAATAGTCCACGCTTATAGGATGTGCCACGCCCCTTTTACAAACTCATTTATATATACCCTATTTGCAGCACCTACCATATATATGACTGCATACCAAATTTTATGCAAAGTTCATGTGACTTATGGTTCCGAAGTTATGGCTGATTAAAGAATTCACGCCTATGGGAGATGCCACGTCCCCTTGACGAATCTAAATTTTTTCACCATATTATAGGCCCAGGGGTCATGGCAATACTCTGTCAAAATTTCGTTCGATTCTCTCCGTCCGTTTAGGCTGCAACATGGCACATAGATACATACTTCCACAAATATAAATATAGTCGATGGGTATGATACTAAACATCCACAAGGGGAAGCCTGAGGTGGAACAGCCATTCTTATTCATAGAATAAAGTACCATGAACTAGAATCGCATAGTAATGAGTTTATTCATAATACTGCAATACACATTCATGATCACTTTGGTGGCCTTACAGCATCTGCTATATACTGCCCCCCATCGAAAAACAACTTTTTCCTAAAGTTTGGCAGTAAGTTTATTGTAGCAGGAGATTACAAAGCCAAACATACATTCTGGGGTCTAGATTGATTACACCAAAGGGTAGAAATCTACACAAAGTATTCCAGAACAGAGGATTTGATGTCTTGTCTACTTGTCAGTCAACGCATTGGCCCTCTGACCCCCAAAAAATACCCGATCTTATTGACTTTGGTATAACAAAGGGCATTCCGCTATACCAGGTTAAGACAGAAGCATTATTTGATCTCTCTTCAGATCATTCTTCCTGTCTAATAACCTTATCAATGTTTATTAACTTGGACGAAAAACAAAAACATCTTACAAATAAGAACCACAATCTGATTAAAGTACAAAAACGATGTCAGTTCGCACATTGACCCTGGAATTCTTATTCAGATCAAAAATGATATCGACAGGGCAGCTGAAAATCTCACTGATAGCTTGCTCACCCCAAAAATTCTTAACTTAATAAGTAAACGAGCGCTAATTAAGAAGGGAATGGCAAAGAATGCCCACTCCTAAGCTTAAGCGGGAGCTGAAAAGAAAGAGGTCGCAGGAGGAAAAAGAAAGAAGTCCGCAGTCAATCCTTCAGTCCTTGTCTGCTTCGAGACAGATTGAGTACTCCGTTTGGCTAACTTTGAAGCACACGAAGAGGCCCGTTCATCGAGAAGCTCCTTTATGTACTCAGAACCTACATTCTTGTAGCATTACCACAAATCCGCTTCGGTTTAAAAATGAAGATTGAATTATTGCCATTGTTCCTGTCATTCAGAAGAATGAAGCTCCTGGTTACCATAGGATTACAGGTGAAATGTAGAGGATCTTCCACTAACTGCGGTACCTTTTTTGTTTTATATTTTTAATAACATGCTTAACATGCTATCTTAAGCAGTAGTTCTTACAAACTGCCAGAATATTTATTTGAAAATATAGAGCTACGGCTGGAATCTCGGAGGATAAAAGCTAACGAGACAAGTGTATTCAGACAAAATTTACTTTGAAGGATGAAACGTGTCCACCACTTAAAATAAACAGCAAGGCTATACTACAAAAAGATAGTGTCAATTGTTTTGGGATGATGCTAGATAGGAGACTTAAGTACTTGGAGAAAGCATATAGAAAACAACATTTCCCAAGCGAAACTCAAACAAGCAAGCCGTCAATGAGTTATAGGACACAAATATAAATTAAACCTAGGGATGAAACGGTACCATGCATGTATCGAGACTTTTACTTGGAAGTAGTATCGATGACTGAAAAATATCGGACCTACAGTATCGATACCTACTCGTATCGGTACTCATTGTGTATTCCGTAATATGTTAAATTTATTTCTTTTAAATCACCTCCTCTGGGAATCTTAAACTCCGAATAATAAAATTTAATAATGTAGGAACTGAAAATAAAGAACACTTCGTTACATAGCAGAATTATATATTTAATGATGAATGGTATTTACACAGATACATATATATTGTAAAAGATTACAAGTTAATCTTATTAAAGAAATCATTTATTAATAAATATTTCAGCGAAAAAAGTCTTCTCTTCAACCGATTGCTTGACGTGGTTATTGTTGCTCCTGCTTTCGAAAACAATTGTTCGCAAGAAACAGATGTTGCAACTATATGCAAATATGATCGTGCTTGTTTATACAACAAAGGAAATGCAGTTTTCAGCTCCTCCCACTCTTCTAATGGGTTCGACTTCAGGGAGGATACTGGGCTGGATAAATATAAGGACACTTCGTCACCTTTCGTAGACCTTTTTTTCTTTGACAGACGGCGAGCTGTTTGTGGTGTTGCCAGAACTCGAAGTCATCCCTGCATCTCGTACGTCAAAGGACGCACAATTTTTTTTGACAAGTTCACAAATTAGAATAAGGCAAGGTTTACATCAGTGATTCCCAAAGTGGTCCAGGTGAACCCCCAGGGGTCCACGGAAGACTCGACGGGGGTCCACGGTGACGTGAACAAAATATGGGGGTCCACGAAAATGTATCTGGTTTCGATGTAAAGAACCAAAATGATGGCTTGATAGCCTTTTTAATTAACTTTAATTTTTTTGCGTGGTGTATAGTGCTCTTGACGCACTGCTGCACTGCTGCACTTACCGTCACTTTGTGTTTTCATACGTGGGGAAGCCTTAGAGGCCACCTGCAGACTAAAACGAACCGGACGCTGGTATTGCTGGCGGCAGAGATTTAAGCACTTGCGTCTTTTGAATGCTACAGGATAATACTATTACCTTTGTTGAAAAATTCTATAATGTTGAGTTCCCTGAGACTGAATGATGGTTTGATTGCAAAACTGACTCTGGGTCATGATCTGGGGTCTTTTTCGAGGTTAATGGACATAAGATCCACTTTTCTGTAGGGGAATATGCTTCGGTCTTCCAGGGTGAGGTAATTGCAATACTCAAAGCCATGGAATACATGGTGGAACATAGGTGGAGGGGAAGGAGTTCATGTGACCGGATTGACAACCAATCTGCACTTAAGGCATTGACCAGCCCTATACTTAAGTACTTCCAGACTAGTTCGGCAATGCAAGCTTCGACTAAAAAATGATGGTGAACATAACGAGGTTGTTTTACTCTGGGNCTCTTCTAATGGGTTCGACTTCAGGGAGGATACTGGGCTGGATAAATATAAGGACACTTCGTCACCTTTCGTAGACCTTTTTTTCTTTGACAGACGGCGAGCTGTTTGTGGTGTTGCCAGAACTCGAAGTCATCCCTGCATCTCGTACGTCAAAGGACGCACAATTTTTTTTGACAAGTTCACAAATTAGAATAAGGCAAGGTTTACATCAGTGATTCCCAAAGTGGTCCAGGTGAACCCCCAGGGGTCCACGGAAGACTCGACGGGGGTCCACGGTGACGTGAACAAAATATGGGGGTCCACGAAAATGTATCTGGTTTCGATGTAAAGAACCAAAATGATGGCTTGATAGCCTTTTTAATTAACTTTAATTTTTTTGCGTGGTGTATAGTGCTCTTGACGCACTGCTGCACTGCTGCACTTACCGTCACTTTGTGTTTTCATACGTGGGGAAGCCTTAGAGGCCACCTGCAGACTAAAACGAACCGGACGCTGGTATTGCTGGCGGCAGAGATTTAAGCACTTGCGTCTTTTGAATGCTACAGGATAATACTATTACCTTTGTTGAAAAATTCTATAATGTTGAGTTCCCTGAGACTGAATGATGGTTTGATTGCAAAACTGACTCTGGGTCATGATCTGGGGTCTTTTTCGAGGTTAATGGACATAAGATCCACTTTTCTGTAGGGGAATATGCTTCGGTCTTCCAGGGTGAGGTAATTGCAATACTCAAAGCCATGGAATACATGGTGGAACATAGGTGGAGGGGAAGGAGTTCATGTGACCGGATTGACAACCAATCTGCACTTAAGGCATTGACCAGCCCTATACTTAAGTACTTCCAGACTAGTTCGGCAATGCAAGCTTCGACTAAAAAATGATGGTGAACATAACGAGGTTGTTTTACTCTGGGTGCCAGGTCACCCTGGAGGACCTGGTTATGAGACATCTGATCATTTGGCCAGAGTTGGCTCAGACCAGGCATTCCTCGGTCCGCAACCAGTTTTAGCAGTCCCACCTTCGGCAATCGAAGCCACCATCAGAAACTGGGTGAATACTTCGCTCAGAAATGACTGAGAGGCATCGAGGGGATGCAGGAGAGCAAAACTCATGTTGCCTTCAATCTCACAAAGTCTATCTAATTTTTTGCTCTCACTGAGCAGACGACACTGCAGACAACTTGCTGGACTGCTGGCTGGCCACTTCACGTAGCACAAACACCTGATTGTGATAGGCGTAAATGACAAGTCCATTTGCCTATCTTGCCTTGAAGAAGATGAGACGGTGGAACACTTTTTGTGCTTTTTGCTTGCTTGGTTATTTGTCGTCGACTTTTTTTTAACTTGTTCTTTTCTCTATTGTCAGTTTCTGAAAAATTAGGCGTAAAAAGCTTAGCCGTTTTGATGTTTTAAGTTTTGTATTTTAAAACTCGGAGCGATAAAAATAAAAATGTTGCCATTAACACAAATACTATTTTACATATATTCCACGTGCAAAGTCATGAGTGAGCCGAAGATTTGATGAGTTTATGGTGAAGATAATGTAAATATAGCTAGCGCTCGCAGTGCTCTTAAAAAATATAACTCTTCCGAGCGAGAGAGTATTTTGATGTATTTGCATGCTCTATTTTTTAAAACCTACAATTGTCAATCACATTATTTTTATAAATAGAATACGAGAAAATATTTTATTTTTATTTTGGCCACTCTGAGTTTGGGTTTTGAATCCACCCGCGATGCAAATTTACTTTGTTAGATCTAATTTTCACTGTTGCTTTTTCTGGGAGTAATAGTGGCGCAGGGTGCGCCAAGTGAGGAGGATCCAAAGAAATAAAAAACCGATTGGATTTTTGGATACAATTCAATTTGCAAAACGTGTTTTATTGATGAATATATGATATTCGTAGTAACAGGAATTAACCTTTAGCCCGAGTGGCTTTTAAAGAAAATACAAAGGAGTACGTTAAGCGGTGCGGCTGCGGCGGTGGTTGGAACCATACTAAACAAATGAAAAAATGATCGTGGGCTCGGGCCACCCCGTGACCTCATTACAATAACAACAAATTTACTTCAAATTAATTCACAATGGTGTTACAATGCTGCCAGCCGCCCGCAATTTATACAACTACGCTATCTCAAAAATTTACATATGGTTTTAAAACTCGATAAGGTTGTGGCTCATGTCCTCGACATGGCGGCCCGCCTGAACCGTTGAGAGGTGCAGCAGCTCTTGTAGCTTTTCGATAGTCAGAACCGCTTTGCTGAAGAGCTCGCTAATGCGCCGCTGGACGTTTTTGCGACCGTGATCCGGCGCTGATTTCTTGGCGACGCGGCTACCGTGCGTTGGTCGTCTACGGCTGACGACTGGAGGCGGCTCATGACGACGACGTTCCGGTGGTGGTGACGTGGAGCGGTGTAGCAAGGTATGGTGGGCCTTTCCACATCGGTGACAGCTGTCTGCGGAGTCGCAAGCGCCGGTTTTGTGCGATGTCGCCAGACAATTGATGCAATAGGGGTGAACTCTTGCGGATTCGTACCGCTCGTCTGGTGTCATCGCTTTGAAGGCGTGGCAGAAACGGAGGGAGTGGAATCGACAGCACAGCCGGCATTGGTTGGGCTCCATCCTGTACCTGTGGATGAGAAAGTTCGAAAAACTCCATTAGTTATGGGGAATTGGTGACTTGTGAGGGAAGAAGATAGGTTTAGTGGCATCTGTCCAACAAACTGCGAGCGGGTTTATTACAAAGAGGGTAGTAGGCACAGTTTAGCGATGTTACGAGTGACGTAACCTGCTTGGGTGCGAATGTCCGCCACGCATTATAAGCTGGACCAGGATGGAGGTGGGTCACACGCCCGAGTCTCCACTCATTTGGAGGGAGAAGGTCGTCTTTGATTACAACTAAATCGCCTTCTTTGATATTGGGTTCCTGACGCTTCCACTTATGCCGTTTGTGGAGTTCTTTTAGATATTCATTTTTCCAGCGATTACTGAATTGCTGATGAATAACCTTCAATTTTTGCCATTTGTTCGTCAATGAGAGGGTTTCCGAGTGGGGTTCAGGCAAAGAGAGTAGTGGGGCACCCCGTAAGAAATGTCCTGGCGTTAACGCCAACAGATCTGTGGGATCCTGAGACATTGGGGAGAGCGGCCTTGAATTCAACACCGCTTCAATTCGGATAAGGAGGGTGGTGAATTCTTCGAAGGTGAACTTTTGATTTCCTGCGACCTTCGTGAAATGGATTTTGAAGCTTTTTACAGCAGCTTCCCATAGCCCGGCCATGTGAGGAGCATATGGTGGGATGAACTGCCATGAGAATCCGTGGGTTGCGTATTTTTCGGCAATATCAGTAGCCGATTCTTTGAGAAATTGTGAGAATTCTCTTTGCAGCGTTCGCTGCGCACCTACGAAAGTTTTTCCGTTGTCGGACATGATTTTATGGGGGATTCCACGGCGGCCGACAAATCGGGTGAAAGCTGCTTTGAACGCTTCCGAGGTCAGACTTGAGCATAATTCTAAGTGTATTGCTTTGGTGGAGAAGCACACAAATACACACACATACGCCTTTGCGTGAGGAGCTCGCCGGAGTATAGATGTTTTCACAAGAAATGGCCCAGCAAAATTAACACCTGTGGTATGGAAGGGGAGTGTGTAGGTGGATCGTTCAGGAGGAAGCGTGGCCATTATCTGGGAACACATCCTTTGTTTATAAATTGTGCAGACCTTACAATGAAAGATGATTTTTTTTATCTTTTGTTTCAGCCTGGGGATATAATATTCTTGCTGCACCATTAGAACCATGAGTTGTTTGTCAGCGTGGAGAAGAGTGGTATGGAGGAAGTCGAGCAGCAAAGCACAGAGCTTGGAATCTTCTGGAATTATGATCGGGTGACGTTCATTGTAACTAAGCGCTACATAAGTTAATCGACCGTTCACCCGCATGATCCCCGATCTATCCAGCATTGGGTTCAATGTAAGCAGAGTGCTTTTTTTGCTGATGAGTGTAGATGCGGTAAGTGATCGAATATCATTTGCGTAGTACATGAGCTGCGTTTAAGCGATTATACGTTTTTTTGCTTCGGTTATTTCCTTGTGTGTTAGGGGGAGAGAAGTGGGTGTCGGCTGCTTTCTCGCTGCGTTTATAAACCGACACATAAACGCTTTTACTCGCAACGCTCGAGCAAAGGAGGAAAAACGCTCAAGTATGTCCACCGATTCAATCGTGTGCAGGGATTCAATACGTCGTTGTTCTGGGGGTGACGAATGTCGAGCTGGGTTTTTTGGCCACAAAGTGGGGAGTTTTTGCAGCCATTCTGGGCCATTCCACCATAATGCGCATGTCGCGAGATCTTGGGGATGGCATCCGCGGGTACCTAGATCGGCAGGATTCTCTGCACCAGGTACATGCCGCCAAGTGGCATTGCTCACATTTTGGAGTATGAGCGAAATTCTATTGGCAACATAAGTTTTCCAAGTGTGTGGCGGTTTTTCTAACCACGCCAACACAATGGAAGAATCTGACCAGAGGTATAAATCATGAGCAGGCAAATCTAGTTGCGAGTGGAGTTGATTAACCAGCTTGGAGAGTAGGACGGCTCCACAGAGCTCAAGTCTGGGGAGGCTGACTGTTTGCAGGGGGGCTACCTTACTTTTAGCTGCGAGTATGTGTGACGAGAAGGAGTTTTCGTCAATTTGTACTCGGAGGTAGACACAGGCGCAATAAGCTTTTTCAGAGGCGTCTGAAAACCCGTGTACTTGTACACGGTGAGTAGGGGAGAATTGCACCCAGCGGGGAATAACAATTTCATTAATAGCGGGGAGATTTTCGCGCAGAGTGTTCCATTTGTGGAAAGCGCTGGGTTTTACTTGCTCGTCCCAGTCAGTGCCTTCCATCCATAGTTGCTGAAGGAGCATTTTGGCGGAAATCATTACTGGCGTTAGCCATCCTGCCGGGTCAAACAATTTCGCTACCGCTGATAATATTTGCCGTTTTGTCCTCGAGTTTGCAGCGGGAACGGGATCGTACGTGTAAGAGAAGGAGTCCGTTAGCGCGTTCCATTTTATGCCTAGAGTTTTAGTAGAGCTAGTGTCTTGAAACTGGAGAAAATCAACATCAAGGACCTCGGAATCTGGGACTGATTCCAGGATTTTTGGGTGATTTGAGGTGATTTTTCGTAGTGGAAAGCCTGCAGATTTTAGGGCGTCTTTAACTTGAGATAATGAGCTTATAGTGGACTGTATATTATGCCCGCCTGAGAGAATATCGTCCACGTATGTTTCGCGTAGGAGGATATTGCTGGCGAGCGGGAATTCGTCTTGACAATCCTGCGCTAACTGATGAAGCGTACGGATTGCAAGATAGGGAGCGCAATTGACGCCAAAGGTGACTGTTTTCAGCCTAAAATCTTCTATGGGCTTCTATGGAGACCTACGAAAGACGATTCCTTGGAAGTCTTGATCTTCCTCGTGGACAAGAATTTGGCGGTACATCTTTTCGATGTCGCCATTAAAAACAAACTTGTAGAGGCGCCATCGGAGAATGATGAGCATCAAGTCGTTTTGAAGGGTTGGGCCAGTGTATAGTACGTCATTGAGGGAGTTTCCAGAGTGGGATATTCTGGAGGCATTGAAGACTACGCGTACTTTTGTTGTTTTGCTGTCGGGTTTTATGACAGCATGGTGCGGTAAATAAAAGGAGAAGTATTTACCGTTTTGATGACTTCTTGGGATGAGGTGGGCTCCATATGGTCCATGGTGATGTATTCTTCCAGAACTTCTGAGTACCTTTTGCTGATGTACTGCTGCTGCGCTGCTAGTCGAGAGTGTCCTAGAGCCATGATGTCTGGGAATTCGTGTTTGATGGGTAGTTTTACCATGTATCGTCCGTCTGCCTGCCGGATTGTTGTGCGTCGATACAGGTCTTCACAGAAGTCCTCTTCACTTGAACGGGGTTGCGTGACAGCTACTTCCTCCTGTTCCCAAAACTTCTTCAGCAGTGAGTTTAACGATTCATCCTGGGGTTCGGTTACCTGGGTGGTAAAGGTGGAGATCCTCTCCTAGATTGGGCCGCTCAGAATCCATCCAAATATCGTGTTCTGCGCTATGAGACTTCCGTTTATGTTTTGCTGCAGCCCTTGTAGGAGAATTCGGGGGATTAGGTCACTGCCGATTACCATATCTATTTTATTTGGGGTGAAACAGTTGGGATCGGCGAGCCTTAATCGTTTTATCTCTTCTAAGTTAATATGAGAGATATTTGAAGTAGGGAGAAAATGGGTCAATTGGGGCAAAATAATGGCTTGGGTCTTTATTTCTTGGGTTCTATCTGTTGAGCACAGTGTGATTTCGCACATTTTCTTTGAGTTTTGCACCACCATTCCACCCATGCCCGAAATCTCGAATCGAGCATCTGTCATAGGCAAGCGCAAGAGTTTTTGTATCCGGGATGATACAAACGTTTTTTGTGAGCCTTGATCCACCAGAGCGCGATTATTATGATATTCGCCATCACAATATATAGGTACTATCGCCGTTGGGAGGAGAGTTGTGACGTTAGTACTTGAAAAATGAGATGACACTTTATTGACGTCATTTTTCTCAGGGGTTGGGTGTGTCACATACTTTGAGCAAGTCGGGACTTCTGTATCTGTACTAGTCTGAGTCGCCAGTTGACTCGTTGTTCGCTGTGGCTTCGAATTGGGTTTGGGTTGCTGGGTTTTTTGCGGGAAGTGCAAAAGAGAGTGATGTTTTCTTTGGCAGTATACACAAGTGAAGCTGCTTGTACAATCACTCTTTAAATGGGAGTAAGAAAGGCAATTTTCGCAATAATTGTTCTCTCTTATGAATCTTACTCGGTCAGATACGGACAGTGCCTTAAATTTAACACATGTCTTCATGGGGTGCCTTGAGTTGCAGAGTTTGCATGAGATCGGCTGATTTAGATCTACATGAAAATTTTGAGTTCTACTTTTATTAATGAACGTCGAGTTTTGGTTCATCATTCTGGGTGTAAAATGTGGGGTAGGGGGTTTTAGTTTGCCTGGCCGATATGCATGTAGTCTTTCTACTACTTCATACCGGCTTGTAAGGAATTTATTCATATCTGCCCACAGCGGTAACTCTTTCCGTGAGCTGAGTGATTGCTCCCATAGAGACAGAGTTTCACTGGGCAGTTTTGAAGAACATAAATATACAAGGATGGGGTCCCAATTGCTGGTCGGGATTCCTTGTGCTGAGAGGGTTGAGAGGCAATTATTGATGGTGGATTGAACTTTTTGGATTTGCTCACCACTTTCTGTATATATGGGGGGTATATTAAATAAAGCTTTTAATTGGTTATCTACCAATATCCTACGATTCTCGTACCGTGACTTTAAGGCATCCCAGGCAAGTTCAAAGTTATCGTCAGTGAGAGGGAATTGATTGACTATCTGTCCTGCCTGGCTTCTTGTTTTTTGCCGTAAATGGTATAATTTCTGGGCTGGGGTTAGTTTGGGGTGATTTTTATAGACTGCCGTGAACATATCTCTGAACGCCGGCCAGTCTTCGTACCCACCGTGGAAAATTTCTGTATCACACGGTGGTACCTTGAGGAATACTTCTTGGGAGTTCGAAGTTGGGGTGGAATTTGTGGTGGGAATGGTGCTTGTTTGGGACTGGGAATTTGCCCCGAGAAGTTGTAAGCCGTCTAAAATTTGCATCTTACAGTTCTCATAACTTTCTGAGCATTTATTATATTTTTGCTCAATTGATCCGCTAGATTCAGCGAAGTGCTCAGAGCGGGATACTGCTCTATATGAGCTTATTAGAGCATCCCATAACTTGTCAAGTTGCTGTAACTTCACATTTAAAAGCGTTTGGGTGTGGTCGCTTATAAGGGTGCTGGACCATTTTGAATAAAATGCCTCTAGCCTATTACTATCAAAAATGAAGTCCTGAAGGCTTGAGTCAGAATCAGTGGGAGATTTCTTTTCCATTTTGGGTTCTAAAGAGGTAATTGGGGGAATTCGGAGTAAAACGTGAGTGAAAGGGTGAAAAACGTAAAAATATTTTTATCTTGTCTTGAGATACCAAGATGTACTCAGCAACTTCTTATTTTTCAATTTAAAATATTGATTTGCGCTACTTTTTAACGTTTAAAAATTTTTCTTGTGTGGTGCTATTTTTATGACCCCTACTGTATCTGCTTCGGTGCTATTTTCTTGACCTATACTGTATATTGTCTCAGCGCGTCTGAGCCCAATAGTACATATGTATGTGTGCACGTATGTGTATTTGCTGGAGTTGCAAATTTTGTAAGCGCAAAAAAGGTGGTTGGAGCGCGAGTGAAGCGAAATAGATAAATATGCAAGAGGTTATATGTATACGTACGTAAGTAAATGGGTGTACCGTTTGCCTTTTCGGCTTGTGAGTATGTACGTATATATATATATATATTTCCTTTTTGGTTGTTGTTGTTGTTGGTATATTTATATGTAGGTAAGTTTCGCAAATTTTTAAGCAGAATCTTTTTTCAAACTGGGTGAATCTCCATGGCATAAGTGGAAGAGTCAGACAAGAGAAAAGCGATTTTTGTTTCTTTTCGGGTACCGCTAATTAAAACACAATTGCAAACACAATTTCGTGTGTTATGCTCCTGGGTCATGCGTATATGTGAGTATGTACATATGTATGTAAGAATCAAGTGGATTTAGAGTAATAGCGGGGAATGAACAAACGGTGTCCCGTATGTAACTATGTACTTGTTTAATATACGTGCGTGACTTGAATTTTTTCTACGTTCGTATATATAAGTACCTATGTAATTACGTGTATCGCACGGGACAAATGAGCTGATGTATATATGGATGAGTAAATATTTGTTTCGCGCGCAACACTAGAACTCACATATATGTATATGTACATACTGTGCAGAAATTTCGGGACTTATGTGAATATGAGGGGGCAGTGAAACTGAGATTGGGTAAATAGGTATGAAAATTATATTACGTTTGTATATTTTATAGCGGTTTTTTCGTTTTGAGAAGGGGAAATGTGAAATTGCGCGGGATTATTTATTTATCTTTATGTACATACATATATGTCGGGATATGTATGTCTTGAGGAGATATGAGTCTAGTTACGGTAAACTAGAAGTTCAGCGGCTTCTATCTACCGTACTGGGGAACCGCTAACAAATTTACATACGTAATATATGTATCTTTTTATGTGCAAGTTTAGGGTAGTAAGTAGGGAATGGTGCACTTACTTGCTTATTGGGTACCACCTGTTTTTTTTTGTGTCGGGACTGTACCGCCTGAACTGTGCTGTATCCGGTTGGTGCCGTTACCCGTTTTGCGTCCATCCAGCTCCCGGTGTTCTTTTTGCTGCCTCCCCTCTCGTATTTTGCTGCTACTCTTGTTTTCTGTTGTATTTAATTTTCGAAATTTTAGGTTCGCTTATATTTTTTCCGTATAACTTTCTATACTGGTTTTAATTTGATTTCGGTTATGTGTACATATGTATGTACATATATGTATGATATATTTTTTTTTGAACTTTTCTTCAGTTATATGTGTACGATAATTTTATGGCTTTATTTTAGCACTTTCTTTGGGGTCACTTTGAGAAATTTTTCTATTTTAAATTAGATTTTCTATTTTCAGCTATCTTCACTTTTTACTTTGCAATTCCATTAATATGCACCTCTTTTTACTTTACTTTTTTTTGTATAATTTGTTACTTTTGACTTTTTTTTTCAGGTAAGTATTCACTTTTTTCGGTTTATTTTCGTTTTCAGCACTTTCTCCTTCTTTCAGGTAAGTATTAAATTTTTTGGTATATACTTCTTTTTAAGCACTTTTTTATTTATTTCTTCCTGTTTTTACAGGTAAGTATTCACTTTTTTTCGGTTTATTTTCGTTTTCAGCACTTTCTCCTTCTTTCAGGTAAGTATTAAATTTTTTCGCTTTGTTTTCTTGCCACCCTAATGTTCATACACATACATCACTTTACCGGTGCCGCTATTCCGTTCGCTTTCATTTGCTGGTGTTTTTTGTTTCTTTTTTTAATTACCGATTGAACTATTATAACTTTTTAATTCTTTTAATTTTTAATAACTTTTCGTTTTCGCTGTTTAGTTTTTGTTCACACAACTTTTTTTCCTTTACAATTGAGTTTTCGGTTTTTTTTTTTTGTTTTTTAACTGCCGCCTGTCGCGTTTACTTCCGCGCTTGCTGCCGATCGCTTTTAGTTTTTCTTGCTCACTGGCAATTATGTGCAAACGTACTTATGTACTTCGCTTAGGTAGCGGGTTGCCTTTTAGCGACAAAGGACCATGTTGCTTTTTCTGGGAGTAATAGTGGCGCAGGGTGCGCCAAGTGAGGAGGATCCAAAGAAATAAAAAACCGATTGGATTTTTGGATACAATTCAATTTGCAAAACGTATTTTATTGATGAATATATGATATTCGTAGTAACAGGAATTAACCTTTAGCCCGAGTGGCTTTTAAAGAAAATACAAAGGAGTACGTTAAGCGGTGCGGCTGCGGCGGTGGTTGGAACCATACTAAACAAATGAAAAAATGATCGTGGGCTCGGGCCACCCCGTGACCTCATTACAATAACAACAAATTTACTTCAAATTAATTCACAATGGTGTTACAATGCTGCCAGCCGCCCGCAATTTATACAACTACGCTATCTCAAAAATTTACATATGGTTTTAAAACTCGATAAGGTTGTGGCTCTTGTCCTCGAGATTCACATTTAAGTTTTTTACGAGCTTTGGGAATATTTAGAGATGTATCAGCAGGGGGTCCACCGAAACCAATAAATTTATGGTTTACATCATGATACAAAAAAAAATGTAGTTTCACTATGAAATTTTTTGACATAAACTGTGTTTGTGAAGTTTATACTTTTCGTAAATTGCTGGAGTAGCACTGCCACTGAAACAAATTATTGTTTTGGAAATTTTAATATTTTTTAAGGATTTTTTTGCATTAAAAACTAATAACACGCAAGGTATATTTAGGTCCTTCGTACACAAGGCTACGCAAGCTTCGATACCAAACGATTTTAGTCCCTAGGCGACTAACGCAATAAAAATTCATAGAGTTTCGTACACAGGCACACGTAGCCAAGATTTTGTTCATTCCTACCTGCCGGACGAGATCGTCGATACAAATTTTGCCGCGATTTCCGGGATTTTACTTGAGGACATAATTGAGTGTCGTGTTGTTGTATGTCGTAAACTTTAAAAGTTTAAATAAATGTTTAGAGACCCTGAAAATGCAACAACTATTTTTTAATACTGCGATAATGCATAATATGACTTTGATGGTACTTTGAAAACCCCCTTAATATTGTTCTTGTTCTTGTTCTTCTTCTTCTTCTTCTTCTTCTAANCTTCTGCGCCATATACCAGCACGGGCATGATGAGTGACTTATAGAGCGTGGTTTTCGTACGTCGAGAGAGAACTTTACTCCTGAATTGCCTACTCAGTCCAAAGTAGCACTTGTTGGCAAAAGTGATTCTGCGTTGGATTTCAATGCTGACATTGTTTTTAGGCGTTTAAAATTTACGACATACAACAATAAGACACTTACGACATCGTTGTGAATACCCCATATGTAAATTCGTGGGTGGGTGCCGTGTAGCCCCAGTGGCCGAATAGAAATTCGAGTCCTCGTGTGTATGAACCGTGAGCTACAAGATACTCGCGACGTATGTATAGAACATTTGTCTCGAAGATTTGCGTAGCCTTTTGTACGAAAGGCCTTAGAGCTCTTTGTTATAGTTTATAGATAGATAAACTCTACGCTCTATTTACTGCTGCTATTGCCGCAGCAAAGAGGTTGGAATAAACAAACGACACCTTTGTGAAGTTACCATGTACATGGCCATCCCGAAATATTCAGCAAATCGTACTAAATAACGACGAAAAAAATTGGGTAAACAAATAGATTCTTTACGTAAATTACTCTGTAATACGTGTATTATCTTGCCTTCCGTTTTATATTTAATTTTAGAAATAAATCACTAAAATCTCGCTATAAAATGAGGCTCAAAATATATTTTTTTAAATAATGAAATAATTAATTAATGAAATATTTTTTTAAGTAAAAACCACTTTTTTAATTTCTTTAAAGAATATGGTAGCTTCAATTTAAAAGAAAATATCAAAAGCACAGTTTGCGTTAAATGAGAGCAATGGCGAATAAGAAGAACAAGTGAACCTACCTTTAAATTTTTGTATCATGGTTTATACTATGTTCCAACTGTTTAGCCTACAATGTTGGACGCCAAGCAAGCATTTTTTTTTT